GCTTCATATTATTCTAGTCCACGATCACTATCTCCACAAGAAATTTGACGCAGTCCGCCGTAAAACATTGACATCGAGCCCGCTTGAATCTGCTTGCATTGACTTGCAGCGCGAGCGCTACCCCTTTAACGCGTGCACATTTTAGCACTGAAGCAACAACAGTAGAAGGCAATGGCAAGCGACGCCCGTAAGAGGGTATGATCAAGATATGACTTTGGACCTAAAGAAAAAGCTGATCGGTATGACAAAAGACAAGCGAAATCATCTCTAACGAAACAGTAAAGGAGTCGCTAGAAAAAGACGATGCTCACTAGTTTTGTTAACACTAGTTTCGACGCAACGTTAAGTATGCTTGCATATACATCATAATATAAGGATTACTCGAAGAATGGTTTAAATATTCACTTTCGGAAAAAGCTAGAACTTTTGGTGAAGTTGGCGGGACGTGAACCCGGCAGCAGGATGCCAGCATCTCGACATTGTAGGGGCACTTCGAGACCTTAAAGGCAGTGTCCGGGCAATCGATTTTTGAAAAATTTACTTACCGGAGGTCAGTCGCGACGCTGAATCCGGAAATCCACATTAGAAGGCGCGAAAACGGCGAGAACATGCGTTTTCCAAAGCCTTACAATCTAAAACTCGAAGGTCCTTGCCAAGGCAGAGACGCAGAGTCGCTGCGGGACCCCAGATTTCAACTGTGGCGGCATGCGTACTCTGCCACAAAGCAGGAACCCAAACAGGTGGGGAGAACCGCGCCCCAAGGCGTAAGTTTCCCCACTTTCCGACCGTTTCTTTCTGCTTTAGGTCGGAGGTCATAACGTCGCATTGCGCGATAGTGTGTCTGAGGGGGGCCACTTTCGCATGACACTGGAATCCCAAAACCTCCACCTTGCTCGGACACTGCCTTTAAGAGAGCACACTATTTCTCGTGCTCCTTTGACCCGCCGGCAACTCCCACCTCGCAAATCTCGACCCTTTGCCGGCAGGTGTCGGCTCACGAGCCAGCATCACTTCCTGCGCTTCTCAAATTTTTTTAGAGGAAGATTACTAAAGTCTCAAACTTCGATGTAGGTTTCTACATAGTGCCATAGTATACTATCTTAATGCAGCTTCTGTTGATCTCACGGCAAGGTGCAGGCGACCTGCCGGCGAGACTGCCGCTAGGTATTAGGTTGTCCGGAAATTAATGCAGGTTTTGATTTCCAACCGCAATAAGTCATACATTTCTCATTTTTGAATAGGATGCAAGGTACCGTTCGAGAAAGCAAAGCAAGCTCTACAAGATAGCTATCTTGCTTTAGCAACAGCTCTGATCCACTACGAGTTTCGAGCCAAAAACTAAAAAGATTCAACTGCCCGAAAAATTGTAAAACATCGTAACTCAGTTCGTGAAAATCCTACAAAAATTCTAACTTGCTCACGTAAACACAATTCACATAAGGCATCTATATACGCCGTTGCCGTATTTTTTTCTCTATTAGAAACCAAGAAAACGAAAATTTTCGTGCATTTGCTATGGTGGTGCTGTGCCGTTCCCACATAGGTAGTTGTATGCTACAAACATTTAGAAGTACAAACGTAAATTTCCAGCTCTCTACAAGTTTTAGTTCTCGAGAAATATCGAATACAGTTTTCCCTAGTCGTGTGGCCAAAGCTAAAATTCAAATTTCTCGAGAACTAAAGTATGCAGAGAGCTGAAAATTTACGTTTGTGCTTCTAAAGGTTTGTAGTACACAACTACATATGTGGGAACGGCATAGCACCACTTTAGCAAATGCACAAAAATTTCCGTTTTCTTGATTTCTAACGGAGAAATACGGCAACGACGTGCATAGATGCCTTATGTGGATTGTGTTTACGTGAGCACGTTAGAATTTTTGTAGGATTTTTACGAACTGAGTTACGATTTTTTACAATTTTTCGGGCAGTTGAATCTTTTTAGTTTTTGACTCGAAACACGTGGTGGATCAGAGCTGTCGCTAAAGCAAGATAGCTATCTTGTAGAGCTTGCTTTGCTTTCTCGAACGGTACCTTGCATCCTATTCAAAAATGAGAAATGTATGACTTATTGCGGTTGGAAATCAAAACCTGCATCAATTTCCGGACAACCTAATATTACTGCTGGGCTAAAGCTACAAAAGAGCGAACATCAAAGGCTCTATTATTCGTATCAGCATTTTATCCTCCTTCTGAGAATGTATTTTTTTAATCTAGCATTGTTTGCAAAGTTTGTCATGGCTTTTCAAGCAGTTTCACAGTAATGGCAAAATTTTCTCTATTCACAAAATGTTACCTAATAGTATGTTGGTGCAAGACTTTTGCCAACCTTTCGCCAGTTGTTTTTGAATCCACCGGCAGATACGGTAGAATAAAGATAAACAAATACTTCAACCTGAATCCAATGCACAATTTCTTCTTCCTTCCAGCTGATATTCCCAGTGTGGTGCATTCAGATAGTGCTGACAAGGTCGATGTGGTCGAAAATCGAAGTCCAAACAAGCGCATACCATTGAATGCAGCATAGAACGCTGACTTCAAATCTGTCTTCCATGTCTTCCATGTCTGCTAAAAGCTTTGTTGCGAGAAAAAAAATGCGACTCAATCTAGGTATGGGCTATACGAAGCAGGGGTTGGGCCTGACTGCATCGGCGTACGCGGCGTACCCCTCGCAGTCTGGCACAGCCTTAATCTAGCTGCATGCTTTGGCCCAGCATTTAGCAGAACATGGCTCTGTACGGCCGAATTCGCACTTTGTATGCACTTTCTTAACAAAATAATCTCCTGTAATGGCCCATAGTAAAGGAAGACAGACTTAGAGTCAGCGTTCTATACTGCATCTTATAGTACGCAGCTTGTTTGAATTAACCATTTCGATTTCGAACCATTTTCTTGTGAGATAATCGCTAAAAATCACAAGAGTTCGTTGATTTTGAAGATTTTTATTGCGGCTTTTAGGTGAGCTTTGCTAGCCTGTTGGCAGGGCAAACGTTTTGTTTACTGAAGCAGTTTCTTCTTTCTTGAGCAACTTTTCTGGAATTCACAAAGTAATTTTCTAAAAGTCTTGAGTTTTAAGAAATAGCATAATCCATTACTGCACCAAGATGCACTGGAGATTCTTCAGAAAACCGGTTTCCTCGAGGATCCAGCACCGAAGTGTATTTGTCACTAACCTTACAAAATGAGCGATTTTTGCTTCAAAATATGGAAGTTTTGAAACTTAGGGTAAGTCGATGCGCACTTGTAAACTTGAAGTTATGGCGATTTTCTCCGCAATTTTCGCGTGTTCGACATTAAGAGACAACTATCCCATTTCATGTTCTACTTGGTTAGATTAAACCGAATACAAGATTTTGTTACTTCAAAAAATAGATTTTCATATCTGAAAGACGAGCCACAGAGCTACAAAAAATTGCTCTACTTGGCAAAAGTTTTGCCCTATCTGCTGGCTATCGCTCCCCCAAAAATGTCAGATTAAAACTCTAAAAATTAGCGAGTTTCAGACAAGCTGATGGGAATGGTCGTAATGTCCACAATTAGCTTGACTTTCTCTTGATGAGTCACACTTTGGATGTTACAGCTGGAAAGCGTAAGAAATTCTGGTCTTATGCAGCGCAAAGTACTTGTTGTTTTTACTGTATTCGATTTGTGAGACATTTAAAAAACTGACAAAATTTTCAAAACGACCTAATAATTTGAAAAAGCGCTGATAACTACTACGGAAAGTAAATCTGTGACTACTCATTCTAGATAACATATTAAGTTTTTGAAGTCTGTAAAAATTATTTCCTCAAAACAGATGTCGGCACTTTCAGCACGTATAGCTAATAGAAGTATTGAGAGTTCCAAAAAGCTGGTTATTCTAAACAAATGAAACTCGATTATTTTGCACGAATGATGTCTAGTAACAGCCAAGTTGCTGTAGTTGCGTGTTTTATGACTTTTCCAAAAAATCAGTTTCAAAGGAACGATTTTTCATCAAAGAGATCAGAAAAATCTAAAAGTGGACCGTTGGTTCGAGATTTGTCCTATTTGGATGATATCCATTCATTTGAAGCTTTAGCGCATTTCAAAGTTTGAGCAGATGGGAATGTCGAGAGTCATCGGAAACTTCAGAAGATGATCTTCTGAGAATGTAACATAAGAAAGAGAAAGAGAAGCTGCAATGATTAAATTTAAATTTCACTTTTTTACATTTAGGCTCTTGTTGAACGAGTTTTTACAGTCGTGTCAAAAACTATCGGGACAATCTAATATAACGGTACAATGCAGAAATAATTACGAACAACAGCTATTTATTGAACCGTTCAAAGACACTTTAAATCACTGATTTTACATCATTTATCATACATTTTTGCGTTTGCGAGTGAGATTGTTATAGTAAGTCACCAGCCAATTCTTGCTGAATATATCTACGATTTTGTGAAAAGCATCGGTTAGGATAACTGAGATCATCATTAGGTTGACGCATAATTGGCACGTTCCTTATTCTACCGCTGCAAAGGAGTAGTAGTGTAGGAACATATTTTTTGATAAAGCAAAGCAATCTCTATAAGATGATTTGAAGCAATAGGTATTAGAACAAGCGAAAAAAGTTCGATTTAAGCCGAGCTTTCAAGCAAAACTTAATGAATTTGAATACTCTAAATTTATAACTTTCTCCAAAAACCTTGCACACCTAAAAATTTGCTTGGCAAACTTAATTATTGCGTTGGTTAATCACAGCACTTTGTATTTTTTCCGCAGCAAGAAGATGAGAAAATGGGGATTATGCTCTAGTATAAGCAACGCTATGTCTTATGTGTGTAATTTTATACTACCCTTGGAATTAGTATAATAACTATAATACTCTAATAAAGTTTGTCGTTTACGAAATTGAAATGTAGCTCAGCTGCGTGCACATTTATTAAAATCTTACCCAAAATTCCTGAACCACAGTTTAACCTCAGATGATTAATTTTTGATTGAAGTTGCACTATATATGGAGGTCAATTGATAAGTGAATGGTTGTTCGTTACAGAGTGTCTTGGAAACCTGACTATATCAAGGTATTTCGTCCTGCTAACCTCAATCGCCAGCTGGTTTACTGCTTTCTTATCACTGTAAGTAGCATTTTTTTTAGACAGACCATCTGAAAAGTATTTCAGTTGCTTGCTGCTCCCAACGTCGCCAAAAACTGTCATGTCGGTTCTTTTCCAGAAAGCTGGCAGGAGTTATTTGAAAAACAATTTCATAATTTTTGCGGGTTACCACCAAATGTGACACTGGTTAGCCTCTTTTCATTCATTCTACATCTTCTTCACCATCGATCGATGGTTCCCTATACGCTGCAATATGGCATGGTTAGAGACAGGGTCCGGGCAGATGTGATCACCTAATTCTACCCAGTATTGAAGCAAGCTTCCCATGCAGATTATAGCCCGATTGCGAATGCAGAATACTGCTTTCAAAGCGAAAAACAGTTTCAGAAGGGTAAACAGGCTCGCCGCTTGATACAGTATCCTCCTTGCCAAAGCAGCAGCCAACGACAGCGTCGCAACGTCGTGTCCTGGCGCGATTTTGTGCTTCGGTGAGAGCGGTACTGAATCAAAGGGCGGTTCACACTTTTGAAGCTGCCCTCTCGCTCAAAAAGCAGCATTTTGCATTCGCAAACAGCCTATATCTTGCACGAGAGCCTGCTTCGGCAATGCGTCAAATTAGTGATCACAAATCCGCCCGAGCGCTGCCTTCAAAGAGGCGCGCCATTTCTAACGTGTGTCCACCTGGGAGGCTTTGCTTCACTTTTTATCACACCTTGACCACCTGAGGTACATCACACTCTTCTAGGTCACAGTAATCTAATAACGCTAAATCAGCAATTTTTTCCATTGTTCACACTATGACATCCCATTTCGAAACTGACAACACTCAAAAAGACTACACCCGCTAATAGTTTGTTACTCAGACATTTGCATCGGGAAGTTCGCGGGTGCTTACTCGGCCACCAATCATCCATGCCGCGAGCTGCCCGGTATAAACCGATACTGGACCCGGTAAGTGACCGCGGCGCATCCTCTGAGCGCCCGATAGTTGTCCCGATTAGGATGCTTGTGGGGCTTAGGAAGAATGAAAAAACTTTGGCCTTTCTTTCATGACAACGACTGAGTACGAACTGAGCAACTTGTTAGCTCATCTGTCGAAATCATCAACACTCAACCGACTGAGAAGCGATTACCATCCCCACAAATACTTAGGGTAGCCCCATCGCTGCGGCGTACGTACCTCACGCGGGTTAGCCTTAAGCTACAGCGTGTAAGAAGGCTATTGTTAAGGCCCGCGGCACGCCGAGTGAGGTGATTGGCCCGCGACTCTCCCGATAAGCTCTTTCCAATTTTAACTTTGGCCGCGGCGTTCCCGGTAAAATATACATGGGCTGCGGCGTGCGCGGCTGAAATTTTAAGGGCCGCGGCGCCCCATGTAGCACGCTTTGAAGCCGCGAAGTTTCCGATGCAATTGTCTGAGTTAGGTATTAGGTTTACGTACGTTGAGGCTGCCTTTTGCAGATGTTGTCGCCTTGGTAGCAAAATCTGCTGGTGTAGTACACTCACACTAGCTTAACAGATTTGGGACTTGTCCATATTGAGGCAATGGTAGAATGCTATAATTAATAGGCGTAGCCAAGTAAGTTAACAAATATCTGAGCAGTAACGGTAGTCATACCACAACAGCCCATACTTATGGCATGACCAGGGTCGAGCAAGAGGTGTGGCACCAATCGGCTATATCTCAAAAGCCTCTTTTTGCACTCAATAAAAAGCACTACTCCCTGTTTGCCCATATAGTAATTCTGCTTCATATAACCAGTAAACTGTGCAATTGGAAGTCAGCCAAAATCTCATTTGTCTCATATCTTACTTACATTGGTAGTGCTTCCAGCAGCCATTGCTCCAGAAAGAAGGCGAATTTAGTTCATTACTAAAACAAAAACTACGAGATCTATTAAAATATATATAATATATATTCGTATGTGTTTACTTTAGCCGATCAAGGTTGTGACACGCTTTATTCAGTCAGGCTAACGTTTTGATGCCTTCACCTATGCCGCATCCCATTAACTTACCCTCAGAGCAATTAAACATCTGTGTTTTTTTGCCACTGCTAATCTTCTCCATACATTGGAAATTTTATAAAAATCGTTTTTTCTAGAGAAAGATATAGTCGTTTTCACAGTATTTTATGTTATGCAAAAAGGAAATGTATATTGGGGTTACGGTATCGTGCTAACAAACCATGGCCTTTTGAGAGATGAGATGTATATCATTGCACTCTGTTTAAAACGCTGATTTCGAATCTGCCTCCCGTTTTGCTAATCGTTTCTCTGAAAAAAGTTATGTCCCCGGAGCAGTACGTTAATTCAGAATTATAACTCAGCGCAAAAACGGAAAGTGCATGCGTTTTTAAAGCACGCTAATTTGGACGATCAGAGCACTTCGCCGCTTAAACGCAGAGTTGCTTTAGAACCTATGACTTTGATTGAGCTTGCAATTTTAATCTCCTGAAGAAGTTTTTGACTAAGGGCGTAAGTCGACAACTTTCTCGACAATCTCTCGTTTCTGATTTAACGTTATAACTTCGCACTTGCTAAGACTTTGGTGGCGGCGAGGGCGTCTACTTTTATGTGTAGCTCAAATTCCAAGTACTCCAAGCTTGTCCGGGCATGCCTTAGAATATAAATGCTGTAATCAGATCAAGAGTTTTGGACAACTTTTGCAGAACCTCTCTTTCATAAGGCTACTTAGATATAGATCTATTCCAGAAATATCACTGCCAACAAGAAGCTGATGCGCATAGGTACGTACAAATGGGAGAGAGAGCCGATTTTCTCGGAGAAAATGTTTATGCTGGCCTCGTCAGGTAATTTTAGGACCTTGTCATTTCAAATTAGTGCAAATTTTTTTTTAGCTATTACAAGAAGATTAAAAATGTTGGAATAGTAATAAGTCAGCAGCTAATGAACAACTGGAATAAAAAGGATAAACTCTGCTATGTGAGTTTGAGCAAGCAAGTGTTCATCAGAGTGTCTCATAGTTTTTTTTCACCGTTTTTACACTAAACATCTTCATGTCAAATACGTTAAGATAAGTAGGGAATTTTTAAGATTTTTTGGAGCGGAGACACGATTTTTGTTCAAAGTTCGTTTTCGACTGCCATAAGATTTCAGCTCAAAACTTCACGTGGAATACGATTAGGGTGGACAATTCCTAGCCATCTTATAGAGCTTGCTTTGCCCTGATTACTCAAGCCAAATCAATTAAAGAAAAGATGCAGAAAGACGATGTTGCAGTGGAAACGGTGAAAAATTAGGAAACACCTTAATAGAAGAGCTAAGAGTGTTACGGTTGGAGCGGTTTGAATTCTCCCGGACTCCTTTCGCCTGGGGCTCTCGCCGCTTTTGCTCTTAAAGGAAAGTCATTCTTGACAAGGGAATTACGTGTATCTACTTAGACGTTGAATGGCTGACGAGCTCGGGAGAATGCCGCGGGACAGTTTGTGAACGGGGCGGGTGGCCTGTCGACGCGGCCAAGAATTCGAGGCGCGAAGAATGTAAAACCCAAATGAAAATTTCGTGAAATAGTGGTTTAATGTGGCAACTATTCTAATGAGAAAATGTGTGAAGATTACCGTGAGCAAGCAGAACATTAAGTCAATCACTCTTTTGAGAAACAATGGTACAACTGTAATTTCAAATTTTACAATTGTTTTATACAACACCTTTAGGTATTGTTCCGTTATCTGGACCACTTTTCACTAGTGCTTTGAAAAATGCTCAAAAAATAAGTGGTATCAGTCTAGAAAGAAATTTCATGGAATTTAAGAGGACTATCTATTTGCCACTTATCGAAAACACGAAAACATTGGCACTTTTGATTCAGTTTGACATGTTTTCCAAAAACTAATTTCTGACGAATTACAAAAGCATTTAATATGACTAGTTGTTCAGCTATGTCTCATAAAAGCAAAATACACCAAACTGACCATTAGAACATCTTTACGCTACTAGAAATGTTACAAAAATACCTTCCTCTTCGATCTGTTATCGCCATATGAGTTCAGCAAGAAAGTATGCAAAATGGTGGTGTGAACACGCTATCATTTGTTTTGCCACTTTGATCATAGGGCCCCAGCGCTATTTTCCTTTCTAGGCAAATCTAATGTGTTTGTTGGAAAAAGGGTGACATCATGATGTTGGTGTTCATTTTCACAATTATTGAGTTGCAAATGGAATAAATAGCAATCAAAAATCGGAATGAAGTTAATCTGGCAGTAAACAAAACACTTGACAAAACCTGCTAAACATGTAGATAACCTGTCAGTTTCTTGACACTGGCAGAGAGTCGACAATTGATTTCGTGTAGGCACGATTCAATGAGGTACAAAACAAAAAGCAGTATCTTTTTTTGAAAAATGTTCCGGATAATAGAAAGTACCCACTCTTATGTTTCGAAACAGGTTTCCAATACTAGTCTGATTTTGCTATCATACCGAAAAGCCTGCAGAATTCAATGTAGTTTCATATACTTGCCAAAGAATTCTTAGCTGCGTCACTATGCTTCACTATACAGCTGGAATCGAATATTCGTATTCGAATATGTATTCGAAATATTCGACAACTTACTATTCGAAAAGTCGAATATTCGAGAAAGTCCATTTATTCGACTATTTGAATAGTCGAAGAAACGAAAGAGGTCTTTTTTAAATAATTCATTCATTCGTCAACTAGAAAAAATAATTTATTCGATTATCACAATATTCGAGTATTCGAATAATGAGATAATCGATGAAAATCAAATATTCATTTATTCCAATAGTCGAATAATTGATCAAGCTCGGTTATTCGAATATTCGAAACATCAAATTTTGAAATGTGCTCATATTCGATTATCCAAATTCTAATGATGTAAAAAACAAAATAAATCAAAATTAAATATTCGAAAGGAAAGCGGATAAAATAACTTTTCAGAGGCTTTCAAAGGATTTGATCCGACATAGCTGTCTTGAACACACTGTTCCACATTACGCATAGGCAAAACCATGCTCTGTCCTAGTGTTTTTTGCCCTTAAGCTTTGCAGAGTTTTTGTGTCAGCTCCTCGATCCCTTCAATACTTTTTTTTAGAAAATTATGTACGGCCTGAAAGATTTTGGATGCTCATTTGACATCTTGTACCTAAAACGACAAGCGATTGGTTATATGGGCGCTGCATGGTTCTTCGCTTGTTCCTTCGACACATTGCAGAATGTGGAGACAGTATTCCTCAACAGAACGATAAAGTTGCAGAAATAAAGTGATACACCATTGCAATAAAGTAGAATGAGCGTATTGAATGAGATATACTAAGATCAGAGAAAAACGTTTGTGTTTGTATTTTGTATTTTTTTGTATTTATTTATTTATTTATTTATTTATTTTATTTTTTTGCATTTTTTTCAATGTTTGCAGCAAATAATTGCGTAGTACGTTAAGTTTCCATCCATCTAAACTCCATCAATATCACCCTTCAATTTTACCATGTTTAGAAATCCGCTAATTCCAAGCATTGGATGGCAGGGTCACCAATATACCCATTTTTTGTGGATGGAAAGGAGAGGCAGGGTTAAGCAAGATGTATACCGGAGTCAAACAAGACTTCATTTTGGACCATAGCAAAAAGAGTATCGTAAACATGTTGAACATATAATCATTCATTCTCTGACTAAGTACGAGTGCGCTTTGCGTACATTTCATTAACAAGTATATTAGTGAGTTCTAACGCGTTTTGGTCAATTATTATCAGGGATTCGTAGAAAAACGTGTTCGAGCCAGCGTGGCCTAACAAGTCTGAACATGTTCTTTCAAGAATTCCTGATAATAAATCTACCAGAATCTACCAAGTACACCTAAACTCATTCATGAACTTGTTAACCCATTGACGACGACGCCTAATTTTGCGTGGCGGCGCTGAGGGATGACGCGATTTTGCAGAACACTTTCAGCTTGGGAAGATTGTGATTATTCACGAAATGTAAAGCTGTTATGTAAACAACTACAATCATATTCTTGGACTACGAAGTCTACAGGTTCCAAGAATGCAAAAAATTGGAAAAATTGCTGAACTGTGGAAAAAGTACTAGACCTAGAAAGTCAATGGTTTTGCAAGGAGTGTGCGCCACCGGTGGTACACATCGTCGTCAATGGCTTAATGAAGTGTGCAAAGCGTGCTCGCGTCTCTTAGGGAATGAATGATACCCTTGAACTCCAAACAATGCTCAATCGCTTCGCCGTCAAGTTCGTACATGAGACATGCAGTGTGCTCTCTCTCTCACAGGCGAAATTCAAGATAATGCGAAAAAAGATTGGAGCTCGTTTGCAGTGCACAGTTAATAGACATAAAATTTGGACCACAGATATACAGTTCTTGATGACATTAATACGCAAAAAAATTCGTCATCTGTTGTGGTACCTGTTCTACGATGGCCTTCAGACCATCATCAGACCATGTGGGCTGGTTGGAAGCATAAATACCGGGGAGTTCACATACGTTTCAAATCTTTTTGGCTTGGATTATCTGTACGCTTAACCTATCATTAGTTGAGCAACTAAAACGTTGCCTATCCTCTTTCTTTAATCTAAATAAATCAAATTAATATGTTTCGCTAGATGTCACGCCTTAATTGACAACTGAGAGATGTTGAGATATGCAAAGGGAAAGGGGCGTAAATAGAGCACTTCATTGCTAAAAATGCGTTTTACCTTGTAAGATAGATTCTTGCTAAAATTTTGCACACTAAAGGCGGTCTTGAAGCAAAAAATTGATTTCTTGCGGTGATTGTTTTTGTAGCTCCATTCCGTCTCATCATAAAAGAGAACTCCGAATATATGGGAAGTCAAGTGATTGTTTTCAGAAGTGCTTGAAGCCAACACGTGCTGGACTTTGGGTATAAGCACTACTGGACAAAGCAGGTACAGATTAGGGAGAGCCTTCTACCCCGGGATTAAGCGTTCAGGACCTTTTCTTAAGACCCACTTCCTTTAAGGTACCCTAATTCTACTTAGAAGTTGCTGTAGATGTTGTTGATCAATTGTCAATTCTTGTAGTGTGATCTGCAATCGCAATAGTTGATAGGATTTTCACTTTGCGTGGGAAAAGAGCGCTATAAAAGGCGCTTACTTTTAGCCAATGTCATGTTCACTTATTGTCTCCGCTCATCTCCTAATCTCATTATATCTTCGGTACAAATAATATTGCTTCTGCTCTATTATTCCGCTGCGTGGACGAAAATCTCAGACGTGTCCAGAAGTGGTGGACACAACAGAAACCATATGTCAAAGGAGGAGAAATCTAAGAAATCTACTTACAAATTGAGAGATAATGCAAGATAATGAATGCTGATTGCTCAAAAACCTCCGAAAATTAATCTGCGTAGATTGCTTAAGTAGGAAAAATTACAAAGATCTGGGTGACGTGCTGTGTCCGCGAGGAGATGAACGATTTGACGAACAACGACATCAATCTTAGCTCGACTCCGACATTTAGACTGTAACCTGCCTAGAGGCTAGATTACGTACATAACAAATGAAATAAAATAATTAAAAAAATTCAGAATACAGAGCAGTTTGTTTTGATGTATAAATGATTACTATACAACGACTTCGTTTGAGAGATAAGAAGTTCTTTTGTGATTATCAGGTCCAGCATAGTCATTCGTTTTTAGTGGATGTATTGAAAGACAATCATCACTACAGTGATAGTCTTGGGTTCGATCCCCGTGTGACACCATTTCTTGCTGAGAGGAAAGATGCTATTTTCGAAGTGTAAAAATTGTTTGTGTCTAAAGAACTTGTTTCCCTTCCGCACAGAAATCTTGCGAAAACCATTTAAGAGCATTTTAAACAACGTCAAAAAAGTGCATGAGCAAGATACTTTGAATATGTAACTAAAGTCAGGGAAAGACTGAGAGGCTGTAATGAACAGTTTGTGCAGTAGAGTGCCCAGGGGCTATTAAAGAAAAAAAATTGCAACCATTCAGGAGTTGTGAGCGAAATTCTATTCGAAATTTTGGCAAGTTTACATGCGATTCTAAGAACCGAAGGTTTCAAACTTATAATTTATTTACTCACTGGAAAAGCAACGAAAGCCCGAAGTAATCAGGATAAAAAGCAGGAGGATAGCGCCGTCATAAGCGGTATTGCAGCAAACAAGCTTCCACAGCTCCGAAGAAATTAGAAGAGACCCTGACACGACTCGTTTCTTCATTTTAAGATGCCTTACTAAATTTGCAACAAAATCCACAAGTCATCCAGTAAGACCAGATCTAGCGCAGATATAGTAAGGATGTTCAAAGTAAAGTTAAACTGTATGGAAATATCGTCGATTCGTTGACCGCACGGACTGCTCAAACGCTGCGGACCAACGCGGGGCGGCTAAAATGTTGAGAGAGCACGATTTGTACAATGGCGACTTTGTACTGAAGCAAGCGTTTTATTCGGAGGCGCGTGCTCCGTAGGCTATCATTTTAGGGTTGGGAACCTGCAAAAATTTTGAGAAGCACCCCAAAAAATTTTTCGGAATGCGTGGCTAACGCCACGCACCTTCATCAGAAAAAAATTTTTGTCGCGCCCCCTCCCCCCCCCCCCCGAGCCGAAATCCTGGGTACGCCACTGCAGGCTATATATGAAAAACGCAAAAATTTACAAATTATTGATGGTCGTACCAATTGGAAAAATGTGCTTTTGTAGAGAGCGTGAGAGTACAGTGAGACTCGGGTCATATAGTGCTGCATTGCACCACTTTAGGTTTTGGGCATACCTCACGCTATTCAGTCGCCACGCAATCTTGCAATCTGCGGGATCTTTTCAAATACAACGCCTGCAGACTACAAATGCACACTGTGTATAACTGTCTCAAATCGAAAAAATGCCCAAAAAAAGCCCTCTGTTCATTTATGAAGTGTCTATGATGAGTTATAAACAGTTGGAGTACTGCCAAATCGCGTCGAGCTGAGATCGCTTGAGGTATGTGTCCAGGGCATTAGAGGAATTTGTAGAGAATAGCAAATTGTCGATGGCCTTCACCGCGCGGTGGTGCAGGTTCGCACTGTGTAGCGCTTTATTGCGAAACGCGCGACCCCACAGCGCCGATAATCTCGGCAATCTCACAAACTCAGTATTCCTTCTAGGACTAAAGACCTATGGAGCTTGATACCAAACTTTCGACCTTGAGTGATACAATTGTACTGAAACGCTTTACTTATCTTCCTCCGCTTATTGGGAGCAGCACTACGGTTGCCCGAATGAGGGCATGTTGGTGCCCTTAATAAAGCTCCTCTGGAAGGTGTTCTGCATTGACACGAAAAAAGCCACCAAAATCTGCTAAATCTTAAGAATGGTTAGCCAACACATCTTAGGCTTTACCATGAGACTAGTGAGCCATCATTTTTATGTTGCAGCTAGATCAAAGCCGATAAGTACTTTGCCTCTGACAGCGAGAAAACAGTTGCCTATGACAGTGACAACAAATTTACTTGAACTGTGTAGCATTCCAAACATCGACAGCTTTGTCAGTATCACTGATGAAGAAAGGGTGAGGGCCACAGTGAAAAGACTGCATTTTTGGCCCAATTTGCAACTTAGTGCATTTCACTTCTGCATTTTCTCGATATGGTATCTTCTGAAAAGATATACACCCTACAACCGTTTCTGTCATGCACGACGAATCAGTCACCCCATGAGAGTACGTACGCGGCTACATGGCGTGTCGTACTTTCAGCGGCTCTGTTGTGAAGCCTATAGTATTCTTTCTTCTACAAAAGATTTTCAACTCTTTTTCTCTCATATGCGTCCGCAAACCTCTTCGTTGGGGACGAGTGGCGTAGTGGTATGAGGCGCCGCTATGACCAGATCGGACACAGGTTCGATCCCCGCCCCTGGGCCAACCAAGCCCTCTACCCTCCGGGGCCGGTAAATTGGTACCAGAGTAAGCTGGGAGGATAAAAGCGCTGACTTGGAAACGGCTGGCCCCCACAAGTCACTGTAATAGGCTCGCACGCATACAATTGCCTCTTCGACTATGAAGTTAGTGTGTGCGTTCGGCGCATGCCCGCAGAGGGTAGAAGACGCCGAATCCTTTATCCTTTATTATATATCTCTTCGTTTTTGTCGATTTGTTCCGCAGCTGTTCATTTGCTTTGCTCGTAGTAAACTCTCAGGCATTGAACGCTGTTTTCAGTGTAGAAGTCGAACATAGGGCTTCCAACAGTAGCCTCGGCGTTGAAACGGAAGACGCCAGAGTTCAAGTCTGAAGCTCA